CACATGCGCCCAGCATGAGTTCTAAGCCACCGGGTCCGGGACACGAACCGTGGTCGACTACGTGGGAGTCCAGCGACATAGCCATTATGCTAACTGCTGGTTCCCCCGTCCTCACATCTTTACAGTCTTCAAACACTAGCTTACCTGCACCTCGTACCTTGCACACAGCAGCAGAGTCCATGGAGGAAGAACTGACTTTGGGGTCCAACAGAGCTGGCCACCTCACCCCCCAGCCCGTAATCAGCTGTGTGGCCTAAAGCATGCTACTCGATCTAGGGGCCGGCGGGTGACATGGTGGTTAAGGGTGATGGACTCCCACGTGGCCAACTGCATTTCAAGTCCTGGACCTGGTGGCTTACTTTCTCACTCTCTCTCTGTCTCTGTGTGTGTGTGTGTGTGTGTGTGTGTGTGTGTGTATGTGTGTTTCCCCCTCTCACGTTGTCCCTTTCTGGTCAAATTAAAATTAATTAATTAATTAATTCTTAAAAAAATGCTACTCGATCTGAGTTTTTCCTGTCTGTAACAGGAGGATAATAACCACCCCCCCTGGGTCACTGGGAGGCTTAAATGAGGGAATGCACATAAGCACTTAGCGCAGCGCACACTGCAAGTGACTGCTCCTTAATCCCAGTGAGCAGCTCTGCCTCCCTTTGCACCCATCGCCCACAGGTCGTGGTGAAAATCTGGCTCATCCAGCGGAGGGAAAGCGGCAAGAGGCATGCTGTATTGTTCACACACTCATTGTTCACACCCAGTATGCTGCTGGGTGCCCCCAAATAAATTAAGCACAGTTCCTGCCCCAGAGAAGTTCCCAGCCTAGATGAGGCAGACCATGGCTTTTGTGTGGATCAGTCCCTCCATCTATATGGAGCCCCATCTCATGTGCTCCTCCCCTGGAATGCTGAGAGAGAGGGCCGGATGCGTGGTGAGACGCCACTCAGTGGAGAAAACCTCTGCTGGGCGGAGCGCTTAGTCTCACCCCGTCATAGGCTGCTGGCTCCTGGCTAGCTACAGGACTAAGATGCCAAATCCTTGTCTAGGCAGCTCTCTCCTGAGTAACAGGGTCACTTGAACCTGACGATGAAGTGGAAGGGACCCCTAAACCCAGTAAATTTCATCTTTTGACCTTCAGATAACAATTCCTTCCTTTTTTTCCTCTTTTTTCATTGCTAGAGCATGTGCGCAATTGCCAGAGAGAAAGAGAGAGAGAAGAGAGAACCCTCCCAAGGCTCTGGTCATGCTGCAACCCTTCTCTGTTTCTCTATCCTGTCATGATTTGGGGAATGCACATGTATGGCGTATTTTTCAAG